CCTGGTTCGGTTTTTCTCTTCTGCAACTGGTTGAACAAGATGTCGACGTGAGGCATGACATGATGAAAAAATGTCAACCAAAAGACGAAAACAGAATCGCTTAACATACGGCGAATACCGCAAATGCCTTGCAAACGGTTTCATTAGTGAAATTTTCTTTTATTTCTTCTATGCAGTCAATGAGTGATTCTCTGTTCTCAAACACTACATTTATTGTTCGAATATTAAAATTCCAACGAATTGTTGCTCCTTGGGGAATTTTTCCTCACAATTCTGTTCAGTACCTCTACGCGTTGTGGAGAATTATTAAAAAATGCCGGAATATCTTTCTAATCCCCAAAGAACACCCGCACTTGAGCATTTGCGGAAGCAGCTTGGGACATAATCAGGTTTAACTGATGCGCATAGCAATGCACATAGTGAGCAAATGGATATCTTTGTTTAATTTTTGCCTGTACTCCAGCATTATGTCCGCTCATTACCGCGGCCCCATCATAGCTTTGTGAAATCGGTTTGTTAGGGAAATTTCCTATTAATGGATCTACGACACTTAAAATATGTCTTGTAAGAGTACCAGCGTCACATTTTTCGAGATTCAAAATAATTACAAAAACGTACCAGTTGGGTTTTCCCCGAAATGTCCGTTATTTCATCTGCTATTATCGTCAAATACGAGGCTCTGATAATCTGTTTTACTATTTCTTCATAACAAACTTCAAAAATACAATCCAGTAGATCGTTTTGTATTTCTTTCGAAGTTCCTTTAAATATTGAAGCATTTTTTATGAGTTCGCTTAAGGTTGTATCAATCTCAGCAGAAAAATTAATCAGTCCACGAAATATTCCCGGGTTTTGGGAGCTCTCGGTTTTGTCGCGGCCCCGTAGTGCCAATTCAGATGCTCCGCAAAATTTTATACCGAGCACCAATCAGATATCGTACTTCGCATTAGATCTGTACGGATCTGTATAACGTGCAGCACATGCTTATGCTTAAATCACGCATTTGATTTTGTAGAGAGAGACAAAAGCAAGCCCGTGCGGCTTGTGTCGAATTAGTGCACAGACCCTTTTCAAGTGGCCCATGAATAATGTTACGCTGCGGTCGCGACGAAAATGAGAAACAAGTACACAATTGGTCGATTATAATGCTTTCTCAATACAAAACAGACTGGACGCCACCGTGTCTTGCGGGGGCAGCGTGACCGGTATTTTTTCTATTTGTGTGATAACATGGAAAATAAATAATCATCAAATTACTACTGCTTTTTTCTGTTAAGACAAGAGTTTTGGCTGCTCTGCAGCTCTGCAGAACTAAAGTGCCAGCCGCCCCTGGTTCCTCTTACATATCAACGACCTGCTTTCTTGCACGATCAACCCAATCCACATCTTCGCTGATGACAGCACTCTACATGTAGTAGTTCAGAGTGACAAGCCGATTTCTGCCGCTGAGCTGGAAAAAAGAAGACTAACGACGACTTCCTCTCTGCCGCGAGACCTGGAGGTCATCACTGCTTAGGCACGCAACAATCTTGTGCAGTTTAATGCTTCCAAAACACAGTACTGGAATTTGAGGAACGAACAGCGTCCTAGCGCTCATCTGGTTTCGATGGACGGCCGAGTTCTGCCAAAGGGCGATTCATCTCATCAATAGCGGCAACTGACCGTCTTACTTTATACAAGGCCCAGATCAGGCCTAGCCTCGAGTATTACTCACACGTTTGGGATGCTGCCGCCCCGACAACATTATTTATGCTCGCTGCTGTCCAGAGGAGGGCGGTCCGACTGATCGATAACTCTTCTCTAACAGACAGTCTCGGGACCACTTCAAACATCGTATTAACAAAATTTGTTTGGGATCATCATAGCAGCTGTGGTGTCCCGGTTTAGGCTTTTGCCTGCGCGGCTGCTTCGGTATGAAAAATAGTTCGAAAATCCGATGAAGAAGATGTATGCATTTAGGTATATCAGCAACGGTATATCTGTATTCAAGTTCTTCCTTTACGGCTGATGTAAGTCAATAACTCAAAATTGTTTTGCATAAATTGTAAACATAACATGAGTACGAAACTTGAAGATGTTGCTATGGCCATTTCCGTTAGTTGTATTCTATACATACACTTATGTGTATTCCTTTGTTTTAGTTCCACCGCAAAGCCCAACCATAATTGATGAGAGGGGCAAGGAAGTTGCTTCAGTTGCAGGACCTTATGAAGAAGGGGGAGACTTGCAGCTCACTTGTATAGTTACCGGTGGTGAGTGAATCTTTTGATAAAATTAGTTGTTGTCATTTGCATAGGTATCAGTGCCTGAGTAAATCCTTTATTTAGTGCTCTCTCCTATATACATGCATCCTTTGAATGGACACGCGCCATTCATCTATAGATCAAAACGAATCCTACATCTGAAGAAGCCGATAACAGGGGCAACACTGTCATATCGAAATTGGTGCAGATACATACAGGGTGAATTTTCAGTGTTAGTATGAAAATTATCCACCGGTATGCTCCTTACTCAGAAAATATTTGCATTTCTGTTGGATGATTCACAGCTACGTGGTGACTCTAACCTATATTTTTTAAATGGAAAGACCTGCATTTTATCGCAGATTTGGATAGCTACTTCCAAATCAGTATTTTATTGTAAAATACATTTGCCATACCTTATGCAATAGTCGAAAAGACAACACGATGTCATATATACAAGCCCTTATAAATCTTACACCAAAAAAAGCTTAAGCAAAGGGAAATCAAGGAATGTGGAAATATACAGGGTGTTCCATGTAAGAACTTTGAGGAAATGTTGATTTTGCGTACTTGAGCACCATGTGAAATCTATTAAAAAACTGGAAAAATAAGTAGAAAAGGAGAAAGCATGGGATCATAACCTTTTTTCTGGCGAAAAATTCAGTACTCTAGCTATAACAGCTGCGGAGTTGAATGTTTTTTTCGATGGATTGTCCAATATCTCAACAATTTGAAAATCAAACCCTATAGCATGTTATATCAAACTGCTCCGTTTGTAAGGGCCTCTCTAAATCTTATATGATCAAGGATCTTTATTTAAAAAAATTACGTTCTCAAGTAGCTGTGAATCACCTTGTAGAAATAAAATATATTTTCCAAATCAGGAACATACCGTTGGCTACTCGTACAATTTTTATATTTAACTTTATTAGACACCATGGGTAGTAACAGCGGAGTTATCGACCGATCCCACACTAAACTAAACTCTAAACCAGAGTTCCCTAAACTTTTTCGTGTCGTAGACCCCTTGCATTGTTTTTCCGTGTTGGGTAGACACCCTACTTACCTGATATTAATTTCCTGTAAATTTCTAACTGTAGTGAAGTTTACTGTTAAAAACTTAAAGTGAAAACACATTTAACACAATTTATACATTTATTAATTGAATTTAATTTAAAACTACTCAAAATAAAATTTTGTATCTGTTATGTAAAATATACGTAACATTAAATAAACAGGTGTCTGATCAATAAGTGCCCGCATTGAAAAAAAGTGAAAAATAATAAAAAATAAAGTTTTTTACTTAAAATAGTACAATAAGCGAGTTCGTTTATTAATTATAACATAAACGTTTGTTCTATAATAATTTCACTGTTAGTTTGATTAAATTCCGCTTCTTATACGTTTAAGTTATCTAAAAATAGGCAAAAAGTTAACGAATTTTCGTGTGTACCCATCCTTGAATTTTCAGAATAATTAAAAAAAAATAATTTCTATAAAGGGGGGTTCTTTAAAAAAATCAACGCGGGCACTTATACCCAATGCGGGCATTTATTGGTCAGACACTAATAAACATAAAATAAACTATAAATAAAATAACATAAGCAATAAGTCAATATTTTTAGTGAGAAGGATGAACCTGACGCTTTAATAATAAATTATCAACATTTGGCGTCAATTTTGTAAGGGCTAATCTTAAACCTCCTCGGCTAATGATGTCCAGTCTGTTTCTTTTTTTCGTCAGGAGATTGGTAACAGCGCTGAACTCCCTTTCTACTAGGTATGAAGATGGAAAGAAAATTAAAAATTTCCTCGCTATATTCCATAATACGGGATAAGTAACGGGTATGTTGTTTTGCAGCCAGAATTGCTGATATCCGTTTTTAAACTGAACCTTAAGTTCTTCGTTTGTACTTAGTTCAGTCACTTTCTCTTGTATTATGACAATCGTATCTTCTATGTCACCATATGAATTAGTTATCCACGGTGGTATTACCATAATCAAAATATCCTCAAACCTAGATTCAAAATCTGAATAGAGGGCATTTAAATGTTGAACGTAAGTTGAAACGTCGTCTTCTTGTCAGCTTGTCTGTGACAAATTGGGGAACCGCCGCGTCCAATGTTTTGCTTCATTAGTTTAACTCTGGCAAGAAACGCTGATAAGATGGACTTTGTTTTAATCAAATGTAAACTGTCGCCTTGTAATTGCAAATTAATCATATTAAATTTTGTAAACAAATCTGTTAAATAGGCGATGTCTGTTTTCCTCTTCATTAAATTTTCTTTTAAAATTTTATCTTTAGTATCCAGAAATTCTAAAATAGTCTCAAAAAGTGCAAAAAATCTTGTCAAACATAAGCCTTTCGACAGCCAGCGTACTTCAGTGTGAAGGAGTAATTGATGAAAGTGTTAGTCATTTTCTTCACACAACTGCGCAAATAACCGCGCATTCAACGCGTTGCTTCGGATTCGGTTTACTGCACCAATGACTAAATGAAGTGTTTCATGCAATCTAACACTCAAATTTTTAGCAACTAATGTTGTCGATGGATGACGCTAACACCCCTGACACATTTTGTTTTAAATAGCTTATAAATCCACGATAACGTCCAACCATGGTATGTGCTCCATCTGTAGCTACTGATATTATATTTGATAAAAGAATTGCTTTCTCAATGAAGTAATCCTTCAAAACATGACATATTGATTCACCTTTAGTGTCGGTTATCAAAGTTCATGCGAAGAGCAGTTCTTCGTAGATTTCTTGATTCATAATAAAACTAACATATGAAAATAATAATGCTGCATTATCAGGTAAAGTTGACTCGTCCAGTTGTATAGAGAAATAGGTCGTTTGCAAATAATTACATAAGAAGCTTTCAATATCAGAACTCATTTCATCAATACGTCTTTCAACAGTATTGTTGCTTAAGGGAATTCTTTTAATGATATCAGATGCAGGCTTGTGGAAAACAGTTTTTAAAACCTCTTCAACGGCTGGCAAAATTAACTTCTCTCCGATAGTATGCGGTTTTCCGTATTTTGCTATAAGTAACGAGATATTGTAAGACGCCCGCAAACCCTCGTGACGTTGAAGCGAACATTCTGTCAAGTGTAGGTCTCTTCTGAAGTTTATCTTTGAGTGTTTGAAAGTATTTGAAATCTTTCTCTGTTTTATCAGGGTGGCACCTTCTCAGATGATCTTGCAGTTTAGATGGTTTCATAGCGTCATTGCCCAAAACTTTGTTGCATAAAAGGCACATAGGCGATTGTTTGTCCGGCAATGATGGAATGAAGCCAAATTTCAAATAATCAACACTGTACTGTCTACATTTCTTTTTAGATTCGGACATGGCATCAGTCGTCTGTGGGCAAAATTAAATATTTAAACAATACAGAAAATCCAGCACCTGTATATTAAAAATATTTTTTGATTTTTCCGAAAACATTCCATAATTCGAACATCTTCTTGCAACAATTAGCTCGAATTACGGAGATTGCACTGTAATTATATAACGATTGCTAAAACTTTCAAAAAGAAACTATTGAGGAGTACTCGTGTAATTTTGCATGATTGAATATTTAACTACTAATAACTAAAGCCATGATTGGCGTGATTTATCTATCTTTGCTAACTACGAGTACAAAACTAAAATTTAATAAAAAATAATGTACTTACTTTTCTTCAGCACTCTCAAACAAAATAACACTGACTCACTATAATTTGTGTGATATACTATCTGTTTGTATTTTTTAAAATATTTTCTTAGCACTTTCCTTTTCAAGATTCAGGAAACGAATAAACGTATTTGTCCCACATTCGTATTTATAGAGTGACGAATTGAACAAGTCAGTGCAAGGTAGCGAAGCTCTGAGACTGCGACTCTCAGGTTTTTACAAGTTCAAAATATATTGCGACCACAAAACGAATACCAACATCCTACAACTTACACAATTTTATAAACATATACAGGGTGACTTTGAAGTTGAGTCATTAATTTTCAGATAATGATTGTAGAAGGAAGATAAACCAAAATATGTGTGTAAAAATAAAAAAAAAATTTTACCTTGTTTTATAAAGTATCCTCCCGACAAGTATTTCAGTGCGGACGTGTATTTGATCGTGAGGTCTTGGAGCAAAGGCCATATGTGAGGTCTTAAGTCAAATGATTCACGAACCCGTTGTACTACATTAACAAAGCCACGAGGGGTTGGTTGTACTCGATTGGGAAACCAATCCGCTTAAACATGTGCCATTTTTTATTTCGTTTGAGCCACGCAACAGACACCACTATCCACTACCGACTGACACTGACTGTATACAACTGAATGAAATAATTGTAAAAACATCGTTCCAAATTCTTTCGCTTTTTTGTTTCCGATGCGATGAACCGATAAGGCGAATTATATCCGTTGTCGCCAAACACGAGCACATAATATTATTATTGAGACAGGGCGGTACTCAAACTTCCAAAGGGCTATAACTTTGTTACTTTAATTTTACCAGAAAAATGGTAAAGGAAAAAAACATTTCTTTTGATCAGATCTACTCACTGTTGAAATAAATGGCTCAACTTCGAAGTATAATAAATTTTTTACCTCATAGGTACTTTTATAAATAATGTATATGTTTTGATATTATAAGATAGTATGATGTAAGTAAATAGGTACTATCAGTGTATGTGTTGAGATCCACTATCGTGGACCCCCATATTCATTTCATGGACCCCCAAATTTTTTTTTCGCTGACGTAGACCCCTTGCAGGTTGTCATAGACCCCTAGGGGTCGATATAGACCACTTTGGGAATCAATGCTCTAAACGTTTGAAGTAAAACTCACCTCGCATGCTTTAGTGCAAAAGTAGCAAGACGCCGACTGGGTGTCAGGGTGTAAAACGAAATGTGGATCATAGATATATCATTCTGATGCTCTTTGGGCCAATTTCACCAACATTAATATTTGACGGTCAGTTGGACCAGTACGAAAAGACCTTATCGAAATGCAATTTGACGAAAGCTGTCAAAGCTCTTTGAATATCAGTGATTTCTATCGAAATATTGAATAAAGTCGTGAAAGAACTGTTGCCTTATAAATAAGGGTACATTATAGATGTAATACTATGTCTTTGTGCTTTAGAATTAGGATAGCTTTCATAGAATTTCAAATTTTTATCATTTCACAAAAGACGGTCAGTTATTTAAATGGACCAATGAAATTGAGAGAAATAATAGGTCGATTTTCTAGCTATTATATTTAGTAGGATGTTTTCACTATTTTTGACGACTGTTCATTCATGACAATCTAGTTTTGTCTGTATTTCACGTACAGGGTGTTGTACTTAATACATAACTGTAGAAATATACCGATTTTTGTTATTTTGCAATAAAAAGGATAAAAAACGTATTCCAACTGCTTTCGTTATATAAAAAAGTTTATGCCGATTTATGATCTAGAAATTCACACCAAATGTGAACAAACAGCATATTCTGCATTTTTGGGTTCTAAAACATCGACATTTGTAAAAGTATCCGCATCCACCTACTGTTCATCGTCTAGATATTATAAGTCAGAATCAAAAACACCTATTTATAAAAATATATCTCCAAACATTGTTAGATTTTCTTGTTATTTCTATTATTATAACACGTCTGGGATATCAATTGCTTTTAAAGTGATCTGCACATCTGCAGTTTTGCTGAACGGATAAAAAACGGAATCGGTAGACAGCGTCGCTGAATTCGGTATAAGGAAAATGCCGTCCCAAGGTCAGTGGCAGATAAAGGACCTTTGAGTCATGAAAAATGTCAGTGTATTGGGCGCCCACACATGTTTTTTGAGGGCATAGTTCTATATTACAACTTCTATAGTGTACATACTGGTCGCTCCTTCAAAGTACTTTGAACCATTCTGGAAACTCATTTTTCGATTCTTGCTTATAGAAGTGTGAATATTTTGCTGTTTTACCCCTGAACTCATGAACTAACTTCTCATTTTAATAAAATATTTATTTTGAAAACAGACAGGTTTCGGTTTCTTTATTGCTTGCCCGGTGATGACGTAATGACGGTAATCTACCAGTCTGTACCTTTTGTATGCACAAAAAACAATTCAGAGCAGGCGTAGTAATCATAGGCAACCCAAATCTACGTATGACTGATATGGCGCATAAAACTATGAAGACTACATAAAATTAACTTTTAGCTTTATTTTTGGTTTCAGCTCCTTTTCGGTTCAAGTCCATGCATAGATAATCTGAAATTTACAATATGAATTTGTATTCTAAATTCTATGCATATCGTCAACATTTCATTTGAAGCTTTTATTTGTCATCAGATTTTAGCAAAATGTAAGAAGATAGTAAAGGCAACAAATGCATCGATACACCCAAGTGTCGTATATAAAAATATCGATACTTCTAAATATAGGATCGTATCGAACATCCCTACTGTCAAGATGTATAACCCGAGGTACCGACGAAGCTACTTTGGAGCGTCATGAAAAAAAAATTAAATTTTCATTTGCATTTTTCAAGTGTTGTTTGGGAAAAAATCCACGTATAGCCTTATAAAGCATAGTAGAGTATATTTTAACAGTTGACAGAGCTTACTCCACTGGGGCCAAGGGTTGACGGATCCCACACATGTGTCACTCGTTGGGGCGTTTTGAAATGTAATAATCAGCTGTTATTCAAATAATGTCTAATATAAATATGACCTAGAATGTGTACTTAGTGAAACCAGAAAGTTATTGCAAATTCTATTTTTTTGCAGGTTTTAAGTTTGCCGGTAGCTTTACGACATATATTTGAGTATTTGTTCAGTTATTGAACAACCAAAAAATATTTGACTATGGATCTGTAGATACCAAAAATTCTGAATGGTTTTGTGGGAACATCAATCGACGGTGCTATAACGGTACTGATGAACGGCAAGTGAATGAATGAATGTTTGGAAACGTGCAATATCTATGAAATTTTTGGTAGAGCCTGTCATCAAGTAGGTGCTTAATTGCTGTCTGCAAGAGGTTTATAGGAAAAAACACACGGTAGGTGATGTTGAATCAGTAAAATCGCATATCAATTGAAGAAAATAATATAAACATGAATAAACAATCGAAAATACTAAAAACATGAATTTTATTCAAAAATTGAACACTTTTTTAAATTTTGACTAAATCGTATTTAATTTCTTAATATTCAATAAGCTTGTGATGTTTCAATGACAAGCTGTCATCTTATACTTTGACAGTATTTTGATTTCAACATTTCATAACTATTGGTTGCTAAAATTTGTTGATTAGAACTTGAAGCTCATTCGCTGTATTTGACGGATTATTACCCTATAGGTGGAGAATAACGGACTGTTGATTTGACAAACCTGGTGAAATCCACTCATAGTGAATAACTTATGACCCGATAACAAAGTTCTGTATCTTCCTAGAAGTTTAGTGCTTCGGTACACTGCCTTACTCATAACTCAACAACATTCATCCATATTGTGTTGTATTAATTCTCTTTCAGAATGGGCTATCCGAATATACAATAAAAAGACGGACATTCCGCTTAGAAGAATACAATTTTTTGGACAGCAGGTGATCTTCTTCTAGTTTTGTTCAGACGCTGCCATTGATGTATTGATTCTCTAGTGCATATGGCTCAACATCTTCGGTCGCGGGGTTGGGACAAGCTCTTAATCGTACAAATCTGTCAAAATGACATGCGTATGCTCGTATATTTAGCGCCCAGATTTTGTTTTGGAAATATTGTGTCATGATGGTGCCATGTAGGCGATACGCTATGAATCCCAAGAAATCTTCTGGCATAACGTACCGCAATTAAGGCTTCTAATTACTTAATTGCTATAATACAAATGTGTCATTCTTGGCTCCACCTCTTTAACTATGCTAATTTGTGTAGCGAAAAGAGATTCTAATATAGGCCTCCCTAGATAAAATTTTCGTAGACGCGACACTCAGAGTATCAGCTTGCTACTGGACTATTGATGTATAGAAAGCCGTCCATGCCACGGACTACTCCATGCTTTCACATCTCAATATTAACAGAAACGTTGCTACGTAGATAGCATTAGCTAAGCACTTTGCCTGTACTTCAAGTTTTAAGGATATAATTTTTCAGTTTAGCGAACTTTAATACCTTCAGTGGCCTGTATTATAGTCACTCGTTACGCTTGAAGTTTCCATATTATTTATTTACCGAATTGCTGTAGTACGCCCGAAAGGAGCCACTTTGCGCTCCGAGCGGAGAGCGCCTCGCTTCACTTGGTAGAATTATTACACAGTTAATGAAGTTGACGTATTTAATAAGTCATTAACTGGAAAATATAATGAAGGCAGGCTAGCTTGATGGTTAGCTAGAGTGATACGACAATACGCCGCTTCTCAGCTGATGAAGGATACGCAAAAAATCTTCCATGGCAATTTGAGATGTATTCCTTCTCGTTGATTGTGGAGTAGACGGGATATATAGTCCAGTCAAGGGAGCATATTATGGACTAGCTGTCTCGGACACACCCCGCTGAGCGTCATACATTTTTACTTGCAATGCAATCGAAATTAGCTTGTATAGCTCTTAGTATCGAGCTTTTATGATTTATTTATTGTTTATTTTATTTTTTCTTGGCCGCTAGTATATATTGGGGGAGAATGTCAATTCTCTAGAACTTCTCTGTATATTAAGTTTGATCTTGTACGATTGTTTGGTTTATCGTATTTCCGGACTTCCAAATCGAGGTAATCCATGGGAACAACACCCACCATTAAGTTACTGCCCACCAGAGACAATGTTTGGCACTGGGTCTTATTTATCCTATGGGCAAATGAAACTCTTTACTGTAAACCACGGCGGTATTGGCAAATCTGTTGGAATCATGAATTTATGCGGAATATAAGCTAGTTGTCCCACTGCCGCTCTCGTGAGGATGGTTGCCACGATTATGTTGTTCCGCAACTCTTTTATCATTAGCCTTGTTCCACTACACAGGTTGAGAGGACTCAAGTTTCTTAGCACCATGATAAGAAAGCCGACTTTTGAGATAAGGCTGTAAAGTGGTAGGCTAGAAGGGCTCAAATAATTCAAAAATTTTTGGGGATAGTGCACAACATTACACTCGACTTGGCTAGGAATTTTCAGTGGTCAGTTTACTTATTCCATTCACTGAATCGTTTCTTTAAGATACTATTACTTAAATGAAAATGAGTCGGACTTAAGACATTGGAATAAGAAAGCAAGCGGAATATTTATAAACTCGATAAGTGTGTTTGCTGTTTCGCTGCTATATTTGTTTTTAGAACCCATTTAGTGGCTCTTGATGACAGCCGTCTAATTTCTAACCATGTTTTCTGCGACCATTCTGAAAAATTTTAGCGCTTTGTGATAACCAAATAAAGTAAATAAACAATGAACCACAAGAATGACAAGTGACGACACTCTTATTCCCAAGGCTTGAGCACGGGAATAAAAGTGCACTTTTGACGTTTCAGAAGGATTTCTTTGTTTTATTTCTGAATGCATGGCATAGGTACAGTAGGACAAGGTACACTCTGTAAAAATTTACGAAAGCATCCCTGATGCTCTTTTACTGCGCTTAAGCGAGCGTCGTAATGTAATCACCTAAATCATCAAGTTTCAAGAGTCTTTTGAATATTTTATGACGCCTGCATTACGAAAATCCATGCCTCCCTGCCGTACACGCACTACGTAACTTGACAAGTGACATTATATCGATTTTTCATGACATTATGTAGGTTTGTTACGTAATAACCCTGCCTGTCTACCTGTTGACATATGTTAAACGTACGATACCTTAGAAATGGTTGCATCGATTTTGGTAACATTTGGGAACGTATGAGATAATACATGTTTACTTGTTCAGTTACGGAGAGATCATGAATAAATTATAGAACAATAACTATTGAGGTCTGGGGACTTTGGTGGCCCTTCTTGGGACCCACCGCGGCCAATCCAACGATTTGGATAAACTGAAATGTGCTGGTTCACCATCATGCATGTACCACATATTGTTTCTTATTACCAACGAAACAACATCAAGCAGCAAAGGCAACTATTGTTGAAGAAAATTGAGGTGATTTTTTCCGTCACGTCGTCCCGGTAAGAGGAATGGGCCAATAAAGTGATTGCCAATAATTGCTGCCCATACGTTAACCGAAAATTGGTGTTGGAAATGGATTTCGGTTACGCCATAAGGATTTTCTTCTGCCCACAAATGATTATTGTGGAAATTTTGAATGACATTTCGAGAAAAATTAGCTTTGTCCGTGAACATAATCATCATTGATTCAAATTGCGGGTTTTGTGTAATTTTTTGAAGATACCTCTGCCAAAAGGTCACACGCCTTGGAAAATCAATGGGAAGTAATCTTATGATATGGTAAGGGTATAACAAAAAATCCACTAAAATTCTCCAAACAATTTGATGGCAAATATTTAAGTGTCTAGCGATCTTCCTCGTACTCGTTTCAGGATGTTCCTCAACTTCGTGCAGCACTGCTTCCTCAATTTTAGGTGTTCCCACAATTAGAGGTCTACCTTCAGATGTTCCTTTTCAGACAGAACCAGTTTCAACAAGACAACGATGAATATTATATTATAAAAAGATGTCACAGCGAACAGATTTGAATAACAGAGACTTGTCAGTTGTCAAGAGCCAGTGACATATTCCAGAGCAACTAGCCCTTAATTGCTAAATTGCATTCTTCAATTATTACATTAATTTTCTCGGACAATAGAACGGTTTTTATTTTTTTACTAAAAATGGCGCATAGGAGGAAAACAATTTGAGAAAGATCATTTGTTTTAAATTGAACAAGGAATTCAAAAATAATTTTTATCTGGCCAAAAACCATTGGCGTACAATTTTTTCTTAAAAAATATCGAAGTCAATTCCCGTACGAACGCCACTGTTGAAGCTAAAAACTATTTTTGCATTGAAAAATATGCAACTTTGTTAACCTTCACTACGTAGTTAATATCAGTGAAATATCTGAAACGGTTCTGGAAATATTAATTAGTTTCCATTTTTTTTTCTAAAACCTCAACACCCCGAGTTTTTGTAAGGAAACATTTTTGGAGCATAGTTCATAAAGCAAACTAATACACCTATTGATTTTTCATGCAGATTAACACGCTTAAATACCCGCATAACATTAAGGAACACCCTGTATATCATATATGTATAACGCGTCCCAGGATATGTGAAAGGAACAAACTACACGTAACAAATAATGATAGTAATAAAATTGTCATTGAAGGTATCGTTGGAAAGCGACCTTTTTATGTGCATTATATGATGACACGTAACGTTACCGTAACAAAGTTCTTGTGAGAACAAGGACTTAGGGCCACATCGCCAGTCGTTCCTTTAACTGTAGAACGCCTTTAGGGGAGACCGGGGATGGTTAACAAGTTTTTTACAACATACATATTTTTTGTGCTTTTATATATACAGGTAATAAAACTGCATCAATCAATAGAAGAACTATTGAACTTATAAAAAAATATAAAACTAGTCCATTATTCAATATAATAATCATAATTTAACGCATTTTACATAACACCAATTCTTAGTCAATTTACCCCGGCTCCGGAGTAGATTTATATCTTGTAATATAAGTCTTCAATATCAGAAGCGCAATGTTTGCACTGAAAAAACTTTATCCGTTCTTTTCCTTTGCTATTCCCTTTTCCGTTGCCCTTCTATTTTCCTTTTCCTATTCTGTCCTTTGTATCTGTCTTTTTTCTTCTTATATGTTTCTCTTTTGTTTTTCATATCTAAAAGATTTAGTTTCTTCCGGGGTATCGGTATATATAGTACTTTTACGTTTCCGAATAATTCTTCAATTTTCTAAAAGTGGTGTCACTTTTGGAAAGAGTCTTAGCTGTTGCTGATGAAGTTGAAGAAAGGTCTAGATTCTGTAAAGATGGGGGAACATTTGCTTCTGTAGAATGAACGTTTTCTGGTATTTTGAGGTTTTCTCTCAGTTCCGGTTCAAATACAGAATTGAATGCTTCGTCAAAAAGAGAAAGTGACGCACATTCTGTCCTCAAAGATCTTGTAGGAGAGGGTGTTGTGGTAGTAATCTGGTCTGTATTTACAGATAAACATTGCGGTACCAGAGAGTGAGTTTCAGTTATTGTGTGGTGATCCGGAATTGTAACCTCTTCGACGATAGACAACCTGTTAGATGCATCTGAAGACGATGGAACAGACACTGTGCTCACATCATATGCTGAAGGATTATCACTATCAGGGAAAGTGAGCATCGGTCTATCAGTCACATAAGAACCGCTAAACTCGGAGTCAGGAAAAATGTCAATGGTGAAATCCCGGATACTCCGAATCCTGATTTAATATTTTCAATTGTACCAGCCAGTGGTAGTGACGTTTTAACCAGCTCCGGTATTTCATAAATTGTGACAGTCTTTCCAGGGTTACTAGCCAACCAATACTTTTTCAATGGTCCGTACACAGATCTGTCATGAGGTTGTAGCTTGTGGCTACAATCTGGAGGGAATGATAAATCTGTCACCTCATTAGTTTTAAAGTAATCCATCGCTTCAATTAATAAGAGAGAGTCATGGTTATCCAACAACAAAAGTGCAGGGTTTTCTTTACTAGGTTTAACATGTTTCACGAAATGTTTGGCGTATTTCTTAACACCTCTGACAAAATGGGACTTATAGTGGACGCGAGGGAATACGAAAAATGGTGGAACTATATTTCCTACAGCTGATACAGCTACTGCAACTGTCAGCAGTGTACCCCTCTCGGCAGATGTCATCTTGCCTAGATTTTTAACACCACGTCGTGCTATTACTCTATTAGGTACTTGTACGGTTGTCATACCTGTTTCTACAACGTTCCAGATATCACCAGGGCTTAAATTCAAACGTTGGTAAACAGCAGTTAAATTAGCGAAGAACATACTGACGTTATGTTTGTTGAATGATGTAGCTCTTGAAAGGCTTGTTGCTTGAGGTGTCCTTATGGATAAAGAAGGATGACGTTTGAGAAACGAGCCTAACCGATCTTCGCGAGCTAACAATTTTGTTCTCCAAGAATCGGGGCTAGCTCTGTTACTTTTTATGGCGAAATGACATGCGAATTTTAGGGTGTCATATTGTGTCAATCAATAATAAATATCAGCGGCTTGCTTTAAATAACTTGCTAAAGCTTCTTCTTCTTCATCAGTGGAAACTTGCCTATTTTTAATATATCCCACTGAGTCCAAAGTTAATTCTGCTCTCGTCAAGTTCGGATTACGCTCCAATTTATCCTTCAGTTTCGCCACATAACGATGTAATGTCTTATAGGGAATGTCATATTGTTTTGAAGTTGCATTAATACTTTTTGTGTTAAAAATTATTAGATGACAAGCTCACATCTTTTGGTGTATCAGCTCGATCAGACCTTCTTTTATAGATCCTCATTGTACTGTAACAAAATGAATATTAAAGTACGAATACAAGGTTAATTTACGAGATATTATAAACTTCAAATTATATTTCGGTTGGTTGACTAACTGTTCAACCAGCCCCAAAAGAAGTTAGTCTACCAACCCCAGACGCCATTTTAAGTTTCAATGGCATGGGTTACCTAAACACTGCCATCAACTTAAGAAATAATACATGAAATATTATCAATATACACTCACGAAACACTCTGACTAATAGGCAAATGGTCAACCTAAAATGTGTAAGTGTCAGATGGAAAAATATGCAACTTGAGAATATTATGATACGAAAACAAATCACGTGTCACTGCCCGAAAACGGCTTGAATCCGCCACGTGGCGCTCCGGACGACTGAGCGGGGGTCGGAGAGTAATGCGCACTGGACCGGGATAACATAATACTCATATCGTTGACGAGTTTTTGGCGGTTAGTTTACGTACACCTATAGTCAACCATCCCCTGTCTCCTAGATTTTCATAGTTTTTCCTGCCATTCATAAAGGCGCTCTACTTTGAGGTTATGTTATCATCGGTTTTATCAGCCTACAATTCAAAAAGAATACATAATTAGGACAGCGCTGACGGTGACAGCAGTAGAAATACCTCAGCCTTTCTGAACGAGAGAAAAGGCTATGAAAATCAAGGAGGTCATGCAAGCGTTCTACAATAATTGACGATACGGCCCATAGAAGATACTGACGCTCGTGGAAAAAGCTCAGTGTCAAGACTGTGCGTCTATTAAGAGATTCTAACGCTCGAGGAGAAGCTATCTTGGGATCAAAAGGAGCAGAATGTACAAGTAATTGCTTCGTCCAAATGTGGTTTCTCTAGCGTGCATGCGCGCAAAATCGTGGGGGTGAAAGGGAACATTTCCGCTATCGGACGTTTTAGAAGTTTATTTTGTATAGTAGCTGTGATAATAACTTCGGTTTATTTGAACTAATGTCTTTCAGCACTTTCAGACGCAGGAGAAATGATACAATGACCATATCCTCAGTAAAAGCAATGCAGTTAAAGGAAGAGGCTTAGAAAATCGATGCATGGCTGCAGAAACCCACTTTGGCATAGTTAACATATTGGCGGAAAAGTAACAAATTATTGTATGCTTATCGCAAAGAATTCAGCTTGAGATTGTGTGATATGGATGTCCCAACAGCAAGTCATTCATACAATCTGACATATGGACGGTGGAGTTTGAACAGTAGCTTAGATACTGAAGAAGTTGATATCGATGGTGAATAAACGTTCCTTGGTGAGCTGAACAAGTGATCACAAAAGCACAATTATTTGGTTTCATCCTATTTGTCAGCCCATACTGAGGTGGTTCATCACGTTTTAACAAGTCATTATATACTATGAAATATCTTTTGTCTGATGAAAGTATGGATTTTTCTGGGTAAATATTAGGAAGTATCTTCCGAAAACAAATAGTTGTTTATATATTCAATGCGCAAACAAGAGGTTGTAGCCCGCGGTGTATAATTTTTCCATGCATAACCATTTACGTATATAATATGTATGTTGATTTACCGTTGGCAGATGTTGGAAGCAAGCAGAGGAATCAGCAAATTAATATGACATCTCTGACTACACACAACAATGTAAACCTTATATTTGACTATGGCTTTGATAATTGAAATGCAGTTGCTTCCGACCTTGGTCGGGTAAAATTTTAGTCCTAGCAGCTCGCGACAAGCGGGGGATGGCAGGCTGAATATTTTTTCCCCGATAAACAAAGGTGGTTCTGGCAACGTTACGTTACGGCAGCTGCTGGGTAGGCGTGCTCGGAGAAGTGGGCAAGGCGTTCGATTTAATGAATTTGTTACTGCCATGATGCAGATTTAGTTTCCAACATGTGTTAATAATTAGCCTTAAGCCTCAGAAGCAATTAATTCATTGACGTGGCGATGAATTTTCCAGCTAAATTACTGCCGTCTGATAGTTTTGTATCCTCCAGTTTGTCGGCAAAGATTATTCTACTGATATAGTATGTTGCTATATATTAATACTACCAGTCAGTTGACCTATCTGTGGAGATTCTTGGGAGCGCCTTAGAATGAATGCCTATCTGGGTCAGTAGCATGTCACTGCCATTTTGCAACTACACAAGCCATCCTATGCTATTAGATTTCAGAAATACCAGCAAATTGGTTCTTCAATACTCACAGAAATTCTATTGAACTGCGTTCACGGTTCACTTCAAAATCAGAGAAAAATGCCAGCAATTAATTTAGTATTAGAAATCTTGCTGTATTCGATGTTGCCTTTTTATAATCGTAAGCATACAAGCGTAGAAATATCGCAAAATGCAGAAACAAAACGTTATTGGGGTTTTAGTTTAGTCTGACGATGTACGGGGCCTACGCTATTTATTGAAAGTTGCTTAGCAAAGCACAGTAAGAGCTTCCAATGGAAGGAAGCCGAATACTTTCTGGGGTTACAATTACCTTTGATATTAGGCATGTTTTATGATATAAGGGATGACAAACTCTTTCAGAAATGTGAAGAAGCCTACGGCAATTGTCGACAATCGCCGCCCAAGGTTCACCAAAAAACTTTCAATTTTCCTGCAGCTGCCTTTGGTAGAAACGACGTTCTATGTGCGCCCACGTGTTTCCGTTAATCCTGTGTCTCTCATTTATTTGTAATTTTCTCGCTCTGTTGAGAGTACAGCTCGTTGAAATAATACCGTGGAGAAATGCTATTACGTGGCAAAAGGAAACTGGTAAATACTTCCACCTTTTACATTAAGAGCAGAACAATTGATGACGTCTCGCAATGGTTTGTTTCGCATCCCTGGATCACTGAAATTCCCGTAATTTGAGCTGGAGTGACGCTGTGCATCGCACGATTTAATTTGGTGACATATACAGGGTAACTTTGAAGTTATTAATTTTCAGATAATGATTGTAGAAGGAAGATAAACCAAAATATGTGTGTAAAAATAAAAAAAAATAAAAAAAAAATGTTTACCTTGTTTTATAAAGTATCCTCCCGACAAGTATTTCAGTGCGGACCTGTATTTGATCGTGAGGTCCTGGAGCACCGGCATGCCGTCGCCTGTGAGGTCTTAAGTCACCTGATTCACGAGCCCCTTGTACTACATTAACAAAGGCACGAGGGGTTGGTTGCACTCGATTGGGAAACCGATCCGCATAAACATGTGCCATTTTTGATTTCGTTTGAGCCACGCAACAGACACCACTATTCACTCACGCGTTACCGACTGACACTGACTGTATACAACGGAATAAAATAATTGTGAAGACATCGTTCCAAATTCTTTCGCTTTTTTGTTTCCGATGCGATGAACCGATAAGGCGGATTATATCCGTTGTTGCCAAACACGAGCACATAATATTATGATTGAGACAGGGCGGTACTCAAACTTCCAAAGGGCTATAACTTTGTTACTTTTTACCAGAAAAATGGTAAAGGAAAAAAACATTTCTTTTGATCAGATCTACTCACTGTTAAAATAAATGACTCAACTTCGAAGTCACCCTGTATAAGTGCAAAGCTTAGCTTATTTTATGTAATAATAATAATAACAATAATTTATTCACATGGTAAATAAATTTCAATCCAAAGAAGGATATCCATGTGCGTGGAACAAATAAATACATATAAAACTGCAGCTCGATGAAAAACTGTTGTTTGGGTAAGATATAGTCAGCTTTGATACCTTCAGTATTTCTGGAAACACTTTGTATTAGCAAGTTAGGTTTTTAGTGAGTGGGTCATACACGATCCTCCACTGCGACTCACTGGTCTTTTGTCTCAGTAGGTCATAGTAGGTCATAGCATGAAA